AAGAACAAAGTGAAAAAAACTGAATTTTACTCAAAGCAGGTAAACCGTACAGAGTAGTCCCAAAGAAGGAGATAGTCTCCAACTTCCCCGTCCCAGTCCAATCTCAATTTCTGCCTAGCCTCTCTTTCCCCACTTCCCACTCTTATAATAAGGCTACCCTCAAGGGCTGGCCCAAAAATCATAACATAAATGGCCCAACAACCTTATTTGTACACTATTACATTATTTATTATAATTCTATTATTCTTATTATTATAGGCTGTCTATGTCCCTATCAGACCTCTGTACCTGTACTAGCAACACCCGACTTCAATAAGTTGTTCATTCTGGAAACAGATGCATCTGGGACATGTTTGGAGGCAGTCCTAATGCAAGAAGGGAGGCCTATTGCTTATATGAGCAAGGAACTATCTTAGAGAAACCAGAGTAGATCTGTCTATGAAAGGGAACTCATGGCAATTGTGTTAGCAGTTCAAAAATGGAGACCATACTTACTTGGCAAAACTTTTGAGATCCATACTAATCAAAGAAGCCTAAAATTCCTTATTGAGACAGATGGGAGAGGAACAACAGAAATGGACATCTAAGTTTCTAGGCTACAATTTCATTATCAAATATAAGCCTGGAGTGGAGAACGGAGCTAAAGATGCCCTATCAAGAAGACCTACATTACAGCCTCTATCAATTGTCACCTGTCAAGAATGGGAAGGTTTAGAAGAAGAGCTGATCTCAGATCCTAAATGCCAAGAGATGATTCAGAAGGTGATTTCACATCCAGATAAATGTTTGTTAGAACTCCACACGAATATCAATCACGGAATAAGGGAAAACAATTCACAGAAAACAGTAACCTCCATTACTGACGGAAAACAGAGTACAAGGTCCCAAAGAAGGAGATAATACTCCAACTTCCCAGTCCCAGACCAAATGAGTCTAAACAGCCTTCCTATATTTCCCCCAGTCTATTCTATTTATACTCCTCTAGCTATTACTCTTCTTATTTATTCTTATTCTACCAGGTCCCTAACATATCTTCCCCCCTAAACAACCACCTTGCCCTCAAGGTGGGCGATAGGAAGCATCCATGATCTTCTTCTTCCTCTTCATCCTGGGGCTATTACCTTCCCAATACCTCACTGATTTCTGAGCGAGGAGCTTCAGTACTTGATCTTTCCAACTCACAGATGTTTCTACAGCATATAGTATTTCCGGTGAAGTTTCATTTTCTTCCTTAGTCTTCAGGCCTTCAATAGCCACAAAGGTTTTCATGCTTTCATATGGTGTATCACTTACACCAATAGCAGAATTGGTGTTCATGCCCTTAACATCAGGATTCTCAGCCACTTTAATCTGCTCATCAGAAATTCTTGAACTAAAAATTGCTTGAACTCCCCTTGACTTTTCTCCCATTGAGTTATGATTGACCGCCATGACACTTTTCAGCGAAATAATGCCATCCTCTGCCGCACTTTGAATACATCCAACATCATTCCACCAAACAACTCCCATAGAAAGACTCCACCAAAATCTGAATGCCATTGCTTGTTCCTCAAAAGGAGAGTCCATCTTCACCTGATTTCTTGAAACGGAGAGTGGAAAAACCCAGGCTGTCCTTAAAATGTCATAATCTTTGCTGGTATGAAGCAACACAGGAACCAAGTAACACTTCGTGATTGGAAATACAATTCCAGCTCCTGCATTACCGAGAACAACAGCCATAATTTCTTGGTTCCATCCTTGCCTGTCAGAAGAAGAAAGTTGGCTTTCTCTAAACGAACTCCAATCATTGCTGCTGTTATTCAAGTTGGAGGGATTGTTACCAGTGAGAGAACGAAAAGTTGCTCCAGCTTCAGGTCCAAGATTAACCGAAGATTTCTTATTGTGTTCCTCTTCGCCATAGGTGTGCTGCTGATTAACCAACTCCTGCTGCGACTCTGGGGACTCGGATAGAGATTTCGAACTGGGGTTTTCGGCTCGAGGCGAAGCCAGAGGACCGGAAGAAGTATCTTGCGATTGAGACTTACCCTGCTCGCTTAGTGACGATGTCTGTGAACTGAGCAAAACCGTTCGTGATTGTGAACTAAAAGTAATTGTTCGCGATTTCGAACCAATATAAGAAGGTCGCGATTCAGTCTGCGAACTTCCGCGCTCCACCTTTTCCGCGATCTTCCCCATTTTTCCGCGCGAAGCCTTTTGTGAGTGCGAAACAAAAGAAACATTTCGCGACTCAGTATGCGAACTATAAGAAGCCTTTTCCGCATGCGAACTAGAGTGAATAGTTCGCGACCCCTTCTGCGAGCTGGTGAGTGATCTGCGATGCGGCGCGTCAGATGTATGTGACCTGTTCCGCGAAGGACCTGGAAGTCGGCTCTGAATATCCGCGATGATAGTTTGCATAGCGGCCATCTTCCTCACCATATCTTCTTGCCTCGCTGCTAACTCCTTCTGATTTCTTGCAAAATCCGTCAAGTTTCTTTCTACCTCTGTGATACGTCCTTCCATCTTAGTACGAGTGTATTTCATCCAGCGACCGACACGCTCTGATACCACTGTTAGAACTCCACACGAATATCAATCACGGAATAAGGGAAAACAATTCACAGAAAACAGTAACCTCCATTACTGACGGAAAACAGAGTACAAGGTCCCAAAGAAGGAGATAATACTCCAACTTCCCAGTCCCAGACCAAATGAGTCTAAACAGCCTTCCTATATTTCCCCCAGTCTATTCTATTTATACTCCTCTAGCTATTACTCTTCTTATTTATTCTTATTCTACCAGGTCCCTAACAATGTTCTGATTTTCAGATCATTAAAGGGTTGTTATATTACAAAACAAAACTGGTATTACCTAAAGAATCTCCTAGAGTACTCAAGATTTTGAAGGAATATCATGATACAGCAGTTGGGGGTCATTCAGAGTACTTTAGGACTATGAAGAGGATATCCAATTTGTTTTATTGGCAAGCTATGAGGAATGACATAAAGAAATATGTAGAAGGATGTGCTACCTGCCAAACAAACAAGTATCAAGCTTTAAAACCAGTAGGATTAATACAGCCCCTACCTATTCCAAGCAACATCTGGACTGACATCAATATGGATTTCATAGGGGGCTTACCTAAGTCTCAAGGAAAGGATACTATATTGGTCATTGTTGACAGGTTGACCAAATTTGTCCACTTCTTGGCTCTCTCTCATCCTTTTAATGTCAAGGAAGTAGCAGAATTGTTTATAAAGGAGGTGGTTAAGTTACATGGTTTTCCTAAAACCATTGCAAGTGACAGAGATAGTGTCTTCATGAGCTCTTTTTGGTCTGAACTTTTCAAGATGGCAGGAACCCAATTAAAGTACAGTACAGCATACCATCCGCAGACTGATGGTCTGACTGAGGTGGTCTGACTGAGGTGGTCAACAGAAGCTTGGAAACATACCTAAGGTGTCTTGCAAGAAGAAAACCTAAGCAGTGGAATTTTGGAATAACACCAACTACCACTCCTCTCTAAAACAGACACCTTGCAAAGCTTTATTTGGACAAGATCCTCCTGCAGTCATCAGAAGAGATGTAACCCTAACTGCTGTGGAGGAAGTGTCCAAACTAACAGCTCAAAGAAATGCTATGCTAAAGGAATTGAAGGGAAACCTAGCTAATGCTCAGAATCAGATGCAACAACAAGCTAACAAGCATAGAAGAGAAGTGAAGATGGAAATGGGAGATCAGGTGTATTTGGAAATACAACCTTACAAAGTAAAGAGCCTAGCCAAAAGGATAAACCAGAAGTTGAGCCAAAGACTCTATGGCCCATTTGAAATTAGAGTAATGCTATAGGTACCCCACTTTGGTACTACCCCATTTTTACCCCACACATTGTGTGGTCCAAATGAGGCCACACATAAAGTGTTACCCCACTTAAATGCGTTGTCCCATTTGTGGCCAGACATTAGGGGGGTAAAAATGGGGTACCTTTAGCATTTCTCTTGAAACTATTGGAAAGATCAGCTCTGTAGCCTTTAAGCTCAAACTACCAGAAGACAGTAAAATACATCATGTATTTCATGTCTCATTACTTAAGAAAGTGTTATTACCTAACACTTCTTATCAACCCCTACCTAAGTGTTTAAATGAGCAATTAGAGTTACAGGTGACACCTGAGAAGGTTGTGGATTCAAGAGTGAACCAAGAAGGAAAAGTTGAGGTTCTAATACACTGGAAAGATCTGCCAAGCTTTGAAGATTCATGGGAGTTAGTGCAAATGATGAAAGAGCAGTTTCCAGATCTTCACCTTGAGGACAAGGTGAATTTCCAGGAGGAGTATTGATAGGCATACAGCTCAGCAGCCTATTCAATATTTTAATAAAGTCTATCACAAGAGGAACCGGGGAGCAGTTAGTAGTTAATATTCCTAGATCCCTGCGTGGATAAAATACTATAAATAGAAGAATAATAGCTGGGAGGAGGTAGGCTGTTATTTCTGTTGAGATTAGATCTGGAGATTGGGCATCTCGAATGGTCCATGAGCATTGTATCCCTAATCTGCTCATCTTTGATAATAAGACTTCCTGATCTTTTCTTCTTCATTTCCTATTGATTCTATATTGTTCTGAGCTAGCGATTACCAGTGCTCTATCATCTTCCAGCCACGGGCAAGAAAGAAGTAAAACCCTATCCAGCAGGTTCCGACCTTAACCGGGCACCCGGGCATCCTGCCACTCCAAGCAGTCCCTGGACCCCTCCTCAATCACAAATTGCTAACACAGTTATGCAGTTTGAGCCATTCAACTCCATCATTGTGATCTTCCACTAAACTAATTCTTGGTTGTACACTAGTAACCCATTGTTAACTGGGTGGGGGGGAGGTTAAACCACCACCATAAGGTAAAACCAAACCCAATGATAGTTTTCTGGCAACATTTTAAGAGCATGGTCTAAATTTGCTAAAACCATGTAGGCTAAGGACAATCTCCCAAAGACAAAAACAAAGGTTATTAGGGAAAAGGACCTTCTGATTTTGAGACCACCATTTCTTGGCTTGCACGAGCCACATCAGCTGCTGCGGCTGCGGCTGCTTTTGCAGCAGTAGCAGTTTCTTCTGCTAAACTCAGTTTCAAATTATTCTGCCTCACACCATCCTCTTCTGTTGCTTCTTCTTCTTCCAGTACAACCTTGCGAATCCAAGACTTCAACTGAGGAATTATGGATTTCTGAAAAAATAACAACACATGTCAGGTTTTTGGACTGAAAAACTACCTCCATTCTTCTTCTATCATCAACCATTTCTTATTCAACTTTGTCTATGTTTGGGAAAAATAATAAAATGGTAAGATATAGTTGTTTAAAAGGTTTGGCTTTAAGCCTTTACCCGATATATATAAAGGATAACAAAATATGATTAGAATTTTGAATTTCTTTTACATAGAATTAGGATTTCATGATTATTGAATTCTAGAATTCTATAATTATACAATTGTATGATATAGAATTCTACAGGATTTTGTGGAATTGGTAGAATTCTACTGAAATCCATAGAATCTACAATCATTTAAAATCATTATAACAGTGACACCAGCTCATATTTCATGGTCTTTATGTCATACAAATGTATGAATAAAATTAGCTTCAACAAAGATCTAAATTTGATTTATTGACTTTGAATAGAATGATTCTATTTCTCCTCAAATTTACTTTCTTTCTAATTTACCCTCTATATTCCTCACTATCTGCGCTCCCTAGCGTTTTAGGAGTTCCAAACAGACCCTTTAGAATCAGTAAATGAAGATATGCATGTGGAAAGTTCAAAATGATGAATCACTTTTAATCACAGCATTAGGTGATTTATGATTACGGCACCATTAGAAAGGTGAAGACTTGACAGCATAGGGAATGATTAAAAAAAGTCAAAGAGACTCTTACATAGTTAATAATACCTTAAATAATATTGCAGTGAAAGATCCAGAGGCTGCCAGTAACCCAAAAGCAAGCACAGCATGACTCCAATGGAATTTAGAAAGGTACCCCACCTTTCTCATGCTACCAACCTCTGCTGAAGCTTGCTGTGTGCTTCGAATCAGGGCCTGTGGTTGAATATTTGATGAAGTTTTCAACTGCCCTTCTATTATGAGTGGCACAAAGGAGGAAAAGAAAAGAATTATCAGCAGCAAAACTGCAAGGGTTGTTATGGTCACGGAAAATACTAGGGAAAGAAAATAGGGAGCACAACAGAGGCAAAATAATTGGGAGGAAAGGAAGTGTGAGAGACCGTATCACAAAGAATCAAATTCAATACGGAGTACATCATTTTAGATTTTTTTTCAAACACACTTTATATCTTTCAATTACAAAATGACTAAGAACTTAAATATAGGTAGAAAAACAAATTAATCAAATTCCATTTTACTTGGTCTTTCATAGGGTAAAGCCATACATAAGAAAATAGCCAAGTATTTTATCCCTTCACCTTACCATTTTCTGCAGTTCAAACATACACTAACACACGGGGATACTTTAAAAAATGACATATACGAATATACTATCACCTTGATTTGCAAAAGTGGCTTCTGTACTTGGAACCGTTGAGGTAGGATCCTGTATTTTGAAAGAAAGAAAATACTAAGACTAATTGAATTTGATGATTGTTTAACTTAAAACAAAGATCACATTGGAACTAAGTTCATACAGGAACCCGTCGAAAAGCTTCATCAATTTCCTCCTTTGTAAGGCCCTTTCTCTCAAGAAAAGAACGCCTATACATAACTGGAGATCCCTTAACTTTTGGATGTGCAAGAAACTTCACAGCATTGTCCACTTGATCCTCACGTATTGGTTCTGAATTCACAAAAACCGAAGTCGAATGCTTCTCCCTTGAAGATTCTGCCATTGGACTTTGATGTACTTCAGGACTTTGCTGTACAACAGACTGTAAAGCTGTTCCACTCTCTAAGAATTATCATCTAATAAGGATAAGTTGAACACTTGAACAGAAAAGCGATAATACATATACTAGTCCGTATTGCAACATATATGGAAGCATGACAGAGAGATAGCTTGAGAGAACGGAAGTTCATTTGAAGCAATATCAAATTTATAAGGGTCTGTTTGAAATCCAGAAAATGCTCGGGAATGAAAAAGATATGAAGAATAGAGAAGAAATATGGAAGGGAAATACAAGAACACTTTGTGGTCAAAGTTTGCTTAGAAGAGAGAGAAATATTAAGAACCGCACATTGTTTTCCTTGAGATACATGGGAAATAATTTTGTAACTGACATAAATGTAAAGTGTGGAGATAATTTTCGGATAATGGGACTCCATTTTACACATTTATTCAAACTCAAGTTATTTATAACTTTTCTGCCATACAAGTTTTAAGAAAAGTAGATATGTGTATAATTTCAAAAAAGCTAATCAAAATTGATTTTCTTACATAAATTACAAGGTAAAACCAAACATTGAAAAAACTTTATCCTCCACATTTTTTCTTTCCCCTGCCATTTTCAGCTTTCCAAATATAACGTAGAGAAATTTATAATACTGATTAATATTTAAGGAGCGTTTGTTTATGGTGGAAAGTACCTCTTTCCCAAACAATAATAGGAAATTTGACTGAATATCTGACACCCCAAACACAAATTCACTTTCAGAAGAGATCGATTTAAGTTCCTTGAAAAAGAGGGAATCCAATACCCTGAGTGAGAGGTGTGATTTTGATTCCATGGGGAGCAAGAAATTGTTTTCTTTGGAAAAAGATTTCCAGAGAGATCTCCTACGAGCTCTTACCATACTTAACTAGTGTTTATATATATATATATATATATATATATATATATATATATATATATATATATATATATATATATATATATATATATATATATATATATATATATATATATATATATATATATATAAGGAAGCGGTCCAGTCCAGCTGATCGCCGACTCACTCTCCTTTATGGGAGGTCCCGGGTTCAATTCTCAAAGGAGTGAGATTGATCCCAGTTTACCCCAGGCTCCCCAACCCCCCTCCCCCCGACACCCTCCGAGGTAAAAACAAAATATGTAAATATATTTTCATTTCCAAGTGTAAAAAAGGAAGTCCTAAAGTTCCTTATTGTATTCAGAATGAGAGAACAAAATGAGAAGAACAAGTATATATTCCTCCAAAAGGTGGAATCTCCCCTGGAGCCCCACATCCTTGCCCAGGAGAGTCTGTGGAGGAGGTAGAGAATGGTCATTCAGTTGATCCTAGAGGTTAGACCCATACCACGCTGCGCACAATGAGCCCTCCCTTTGAGGGCAACTCTCACATATCCGGTGCTGGAATTCGACCTGTCTTCATTCCTACAAATTTTCACCCCTAAAACTAACTAGGCCACCACGCAGGCGAAGCCACATATATATAGGACTTCATAACAATGAAGTGGAAAACTTATATTTCAGGGAACATGGTATTCAGTTAGTTTTTAAAATGGAAATAAGTTGCAAAAGAGTGAAATGCTTTTAAAGGCTGTTTTACTCCATTTGTTCTAAAAAAGATGAACATGTGATCCATTACAGTGAAACTATCAAAAGAGGAAAAAAGCCTTTAAAGGCTCTATAGGAACTTTTTTCCTAATGAAATGGCATAGATAAACAACAACAACCCATCTAAGGATGCGAAGTTAGATGCAGCCCATTGGACACTTGTGTTGAGATTGTGTTTGGCAAACCCAGTTCTTCTTTTCCAGATGAATTTAAACAATAATCACAAGAGAAATTTCGATCAAACAGATAATTAGCTATGATAAAACAAACAAGTTCTGGTATTATTCAGATAAGAGTGACATAAATTCAATTTCAGCTAAGTGCGAAACTCCATTCACATAAGATGAGAAGAAAACCTGGGCTTTGCAGTTTGTTGTCGACTGTGTTAGATGGGGAATCGGAGTGACTCGCCATATTTATTCGCAGGCTCGCCCCCTCCTTCTCTTCTTTGTTAATTAATTTGCTGGAGGAAGAAGATGAAAGAACAAAAGGAGTAAACGAAGTTAACGAAGATGAGAGAAAAAAAGAGTCATACTTTTCGAAGTTCGCGAAATAGGGTAATCAAGAAGAGACGAGACAGAAGTGGGGGGAAAGCGGGTGGATGATTTCAGTGTCTTTTGCTCACAAAGACTATGAAAATGGATTATACTCCCATGTCCAGCTCTTTTCTTTTCGGCGATGCACTCTTTCTTTCCCTGGATCTTTTAGGACCAAATTACAATGTTCACCAGTTATTATTTTAATTTTTTACAAGTTTGAGGCTGATAATTATAGAACCTTTGAATTCCCTGCACTATCCTCTACCGATCCTCCCTGCGCACATGAACGGCTGAACATTGGTTGGGTTTAGGTAGCAGCAATTGAAGCAATTCTTTGGGAAATTGGGATCGTTGGGGAATCCAAAAGCCTTTTGGATTCAGTTGATCGCATGGCTGCACTCATATTAGTGCACTTCCATAATGTTCCATTTTTTCTTTCATTTTTTTCCTTTATTTGAATAATTATAAAATTTTTCTCAAAATTGACTAAATTAAATTTTGAAAACATCAAAGATAATGATAATCTGATTGAATTATTATCATCACTCTATTTAACTAGTAACGATCTCTTTTTCACACGTATGTCGCCGCCTTCTCTCTAGGGTTACCCATTGGTAACGCCTAAGTTGTGTCGCCGCCGCCGGCTATTATCAGGCTTGCGCCGGTAAGCCGTGTGAAGCGAGGGTTGTTCTTCGAGTTTCATCTTCGAAGCTTCGTAGGTCTACCAAATTGGTTTCTCTGTTTTTCTGGTTGGTCCCGAGCACGTTTGGAAGGTGGCAATGAGCAAAGTTCGACATCAGAGGAAAGCTTTGCGCTGGACAACACTATTTGGGAAGGTAAATTCGAATCTCGTTTTACCAAGAGGAAGTCGGAATAGGGCAGGCATGGAGAGCGTGGTGAACAAATGTAGGCAGATGGCTTTGGCAGAGGAGGAGGACGATCTGGACCTTGATGATACGGAGGCGAGTGAGGAGCCGAAGGAGGAGAGTAGGTCGGGCTTTCCTATGGTCGGGGTGCTGCTGACGGACCGCAAGGTCAGATTTCCGGCAATCAAGGAGATGTTGGCGTCACTATGGAGACCAGGGAAAAGCCTATCAGTTAAAGAAGTCGGGGAGAAAAGGTACCATTTTACTTTCTATCACCGGTTAGATATGAATCGGGTTCTGGAAGGAGGATGTTAATCCCAGAATACTAACAATCATAGAATCAAAGCAGTGATAAAGAAGCAGATAGGAAGAAATCGACAAGATAAGAACCAAATATGGTATACTGTATGAACCTGCCGCTACTCTCCCTGGAGAAGGAGAGCAGCGGCAACCCTAATTTCTCTCTATCTCTCCTCTGCGCCTCTAAGCCTCTTGCGATCAGTTAGGGTTCCCGTAAGTTAGCCTCCTTTTATAGGAGAAGTTAGCTAACTTACGGGTTACAAGGAAGCCCACGGGCTGATATACATTTGTGGCCCGTATTACACGTTTAATTGATAACTATACAAATACAAAGAAACTAACTAGATTGACCACCATAAAATATTCCCAACAATCTCCCCCTTGGTGATCAATCGTGTTGAATCAGCATTGCAGCGCAGATATCTTTGTCTTTGTTGTTACTGAGCTTCCTTTGTCTTTGAACTTGACTTCTGAGGAAGGCTATCTGAAGAAATCCTTGCAATCTCCCCTTTGATGTCGTCTTGACAATTTGATCTTTGATGTCGGGGGTTGAGGGACCTTCAGTATCTTGCATGTAGTCCTTGCCTTCCAGAAGTTGCTCTTGATCAGCTTGGATGAAGTCCGGTGACGCCTCTAGAATGAATATTCTTTGGAGAAACAGCAGACGCCCATGGAATTCATCTTCAGGACACGAGTATTTGACATCTGTCTCCTCCACAATGTAGTCTTTTTGACTATTTGGAGTGAATGCATTTGAGGATAACTTGTCGGTGGCACAGCGGAACATAATGATGGTTGATTTGTGAGTGTAGCTGACCATTTGAGTTGCGGAGATAGTAGAGAGAGTGTTGGAGGAGAGAAGTGTCCCAGAATGATTTTCAGACAGTTAACAGCATGTGGACCACTCTCCCCCTCATGACGATCCGATGACTCGGGGCGTCATGCCTTTATTCTTTTATTCTGCGGAAATAAAACAGGAAAAACAAGCAGAATCTAAAGAAGATAACGTAGCCCCCCGGGGTCGTGAAGACGCCCGTTATCATCACTATAGAGATAAACTCTTTAGCAATGGCCTGAAAATGTTGGTGATTCTTATGTTGCAACAGCAAGACTTCCTTCCAATTATTGGTCTACATCTGTAATAGATGAGCCCTATGGAAGTTCTCGCGGGTCATGTAGACCTGCAACTGACTCTAAAAGTGCGTCTGTGTCCTAGAAAATTTCAAAACATTTGGGAGTGAGTAACTAGACACGACGTGATCAATGAAAGTTCAGTGGCATGGGGCTGAGGCCACTGTAGTCAGTATTACTTGCCTCGGAAGGAGACAGTAATGAGAGATGCGGTTCCCCGTGAACTATGATTAAACACCTGTCTGTTGGGAGACAAGTGAGTGGTCTAGGGTAGGGTTGTGCATGCGCCGTTTGGACAAAATGCAGCGACTTCTACCCGGGATCTGAATAAATTCAGTCCTGAACCTATGGGGATAGTCCAGAGTATTTTAGTGGCTAGGAGCAAATGGTCAATTCATAGCAGGCAATTGAGGTAGCAGACTCATCATTGATAATTTTTTCCTTCTTACTCGAGCCTTCTGCTTCCTAATGCTCATAATGTTCACTCACTCACTCGCTCACTTACGCACTTACGCTCGGCTTTGTCCCTTGGGTAGGCTTAGTTGGGTTTACTAAGCCATAGGGACATGTTCTCTCATTACTTTCCTCATTTTCTCTCTGTGCTCCCCCTCAACTGAAGCACTCAGAATGCTTTGTCATTGTTAGGCACCGGGGAGGATAACATTGAACACTCCCCCTCAAATGTTGCATCCTTTGAGAGATTCCTTGCTTTGTCAGTGTAAGGCGCCAGGAGGAGAAAACTGAAACTCCCCCTCAGAATGTGCAAGGTTTGATTGCTCACAGCTTGTCATACCCGCCATGTGTGTGGAGCAATCTGAACAAGTACCACACATGACGGTTTCCTGAGCTCACCATGTAGAATTTCAGCATGTTGATGATCACACAATGTTGATGAGTCAGGGGAGGCTTCAGCAGTTGATTGTTGATTGTTGTAACATGACCGTTGACGCTAGGTTGATTGAATTATCTACGATTTTCAGACCTTTATATTGAAGTTTAGAAAAGCTTTGACCTCAGGGTTGACAATGAAAGAATTTGAACAGATTTGCCTAAGTTTTGACCTGGACATCGGTGATTTACAATGTTTGTCGGAAAACTAACGTTTTGACCCTCAAAGACTGCGAGTGAGGGCGCGTGAGAATGGGTTCTGGGGCATAGCCCGAGAATTAATGTAGATCTTTTCGTTAGCTTTCCAACAAAAAAAGGTTTGCTCAAATCGGATCACCGAGTCAAAAGTTATGGCCAAAACAGTGCGGTGTCGCAGAAAATCTCTAATTTTGAGTTTTTGAGGAATTTCTTCGAAGATGAGGTGCTCTCGATGTTGAATGTCGAGAGCAGGTGGATTTTAAACAAAATTCTAAGGCAATACTTCGAAATCCTAATCTCGAGGTTTAAATCTCGGGATTACAATCTCGAGGTTGCCTCGAAGAATAATGGCGAAATCCACCTGCAAAACAAACCTCAGAATATCGAAACCTGTAGAATTTCAAAATGTTTGAACATCGAAAACTTCGGAGTTTCGAAAACCTCATAATCTCGAAAACTTGCTGTTTGAAAAACATCAGAACATCGAAAACTCCTGAAACATTTATAAGCAGGGAATCATTCAGAGATCCTTATAATGTAAAGCTTCGATGAACTGCAAAGGATGTCAAGATTCGAATTATGAGTTCCAAGAAACTGCAAACTTTGAAAGATTCAAAAACATCGAGAAATTTTGAAAATCTCGAAATCTTCAGAATGTCGAGATCCAAAACATCGAAATCCCAAATGTCGAAATCCCAAAACTCGAAATTACTAAACTCGAAATTTCAAATCTCGAGATCACAAATCTCGAGATCTTGATTTCGAGATTCAAATCTCGAGATCATGATTTCGAGATTCAAATCTCGAGATCTTGATTTCGAGATTCAAATCTCGAGATCAAGATGTCGAGATGCAAATCTCGAGATCAAGATTTCGAGATTCAAATCTCGAGATCAAGATGTCGAGATGCAGATCTCGAGATCAAGATGTCGAGATGCAGATCTCGAGATCAAGATGTCGAGATGCAGATCTCGAGATCACAAAAGTCGAGAAGAAGAAATCGAGCCCCTAAATGTCGAGATCCTGCAAAACGAAAACATTGATTTTTGAAAATCTGAAACCTGTTCTGAATAGCCCTGGATGTCGAGATTCTCCTGTATCAGTTTCAAGCCAAAAACGTTTCTACAGCAGTGAAAAATAAGGATTTCGAGATCTCAAAGTAGAGAACTTCGAAATATAAAAATTGCAGAAAACGAAAAAAGAGGTATGCTGATGGATCGGTTTTGAAAGGCGAGTCCAACAGTATGATTTTTACAAAATTTCGTTCACAAACGAGATTACAGGAGCAAATCTCTACGTATAGAAAAACAGAAGAAAAAAACAGAGCAGTTTTTCGTTAGATCCAAAAATCGCAGACAGATCCAACCTGTTTCACGCCTCGGCTCTGATACCAAATGTTAATCCCAGAATACTAACAATCATAGAATCAAAGCAGTGATAAAGAAGCAGATAGGAAGAAATCGACAAGATAAGAACCGAATCTGGTATACCGTATGAACCTGCCGCTACTCTCCCTGAAGAAGGAGAGCAGCGGCAACCCTAATTTCTCTCTATCTCTCCTCTGTGCCTCTAAGCCTCTTGCGATCAGTTAGGGTTCCCGTAAGTTAGCCTCCTTTTATAGGAGAAGTTAGCTAACTTACGGGTTACAAGAAAGCCCACGGGCTGATATACATTTGTGGCCCGTATTACACGTTTAATTGATAACTATACAAATACAAAGAAACTAACTAGATTGACCACCATAAAATATTCCCAACAGAGGACCATGGGAATTTGAGAGAAATTTATTATTACTAAAAGAAGTTAAACCTGATGATATCTCACACAAAATTGTGATGAACGAGGCAGACTTTTGGGTTCAGGTGCACAATGTACCTTATTATCTGGTTAACTTAGGTAAGGCCAGGAGAGTGGGAAATTTTATAGGAAAGTTTATAAAATATGATGATAATCAGAGTAGTGACAAGTGGGAGGCCTATATGAGAGTTTGTGTGTGTGTGAATGTGGAAAAAGCCCTGAGAAGAGGTATTAATCTCAAGAAGGATGGCAAGA